TACTCATTCTACTTACTGTACGGCAGCACATACCCTGTCCCGCCCGGATGGGTAATCATAAATCATCTTAAATAAATCACAAACCAAACACTTCACAATATGATTGTTTGGAAATTATTGAAAACCTAATAACTTGCACGCGGAGTTGGGAATCAATAACGTGCACGCATGTGATTTTGCCTTCCGCCCTGTTTGGCCAAATGTTAAATCGCTAATATCTTATTTTATTTATGCATATACACCAATTATCTTTGTACGTAGCATATAATTAGTAGATTGGTAGGGTTGCCCAACATTCAGACATGTTTAGCAGTTGCCGACATAAGAATTTTCACTTGATCAAATTTATTTATTTTTCACGGGGATTGGATTAATTTTCTCAAAATTATTTTCAAGGGAAAATGTATAAATATACCTCTGTAGTATGGGTGTGAGAACAGATATACCCATGTTCTATTTTTCGGAACAAATATACTCCTAAACTTTTAAAAATGTACAAAAATATCCCTCATGTTCTTATAAAGGGGCAAATTAATCCGTATTGACTTTAAATTAATAAAATAAATTTCAAATAACACCAAATATAAATTATAAATTCGAAATTTAAAAACAAAATTTTTTAAAAATGTAATAGTGTCTAATTCTCCCTTTTATAGTTTTTATATCACAATTTAATATTGTTTAAGCATGAAATATTATTTTAAAATTTTACTATATGTTTAAGATTCTTTTGAAAAGGTGCAACATATTTTTTGCAATGTAGAGAAACATTAATTTTTTGCATTCTTTGCACTATAAAATTACATATTTTGAAATAATATTTTATACTTAAAATATTAAATTGTGATATACAACAATAAAGGGAGAAATGGACACAATTACATTTTTAAAATTTTTATTTTTTAATTTTGATTTATTAATTTATTTTTGGTCTTTTTTGAAATTTATTTGATTAATTTAAAGTCAATAAGGATTAATTTGTTCCTTTATAAAAAAATGAGGGATATTTTTGCACCTTTTTAAAAGTTCAGGGGTATATTTGTTCCGGAAAATAGGACAGGGGTATATTTGTTCCTCCACCTATACTACAGGGGCATATATGTACCTTTACCCTTATTTTCATATTGGAGTGAGAAAGTGAAAAGACTTGAATCCCTATATTCTACATCTGAGTGTAGGTACATTCAGTCCAACTAATAAAGGCAATCGATTAATTAAGACAACCTGATTTTGTTTAATGAGCATTAGTGTACTTTTATAATGTTTTCTTTTGGACTAAAATTTACAGGTTTGGTCTGGTCTAGTAAGCGTTTGGTCTCTGTGTATTTTTATAACTACGAAAGTTTGGTCTGATCTCATCTGATATGAGACTGAAAATAGTCCAAAACAAAACATCCTTAGTGAGCATTTGACCTATTATATTGAATATTAGGAACCTAACAATGAGCATCACGATCTGTGTTTCATATTTCTAATTCATTTTTTTTTTCCTTTTGTTTTTCTTTTATAAAAAATATTAAATTATATTTATAATCCACTCCTATGAATTTCAATATGCAAATTTAATGTAATATGATACTTTTGAAATATGCATTGATATGAAATTTTAAAATGAGCATAACATCAGTACCAAATGAGTATACATAATTTACAAAATGTTCATTGATACGAAAATTGTAAGGTTTGTTAATTTAACATAATGATATTTTCATTGAGCATCAAACCTCCTCTATTGAGATGAAATTCAAGGTTTCCGTTAAATGAGCATCAATTAACTTTTAATGAGCATCAGACCTGTTCTGTTAAGTATTATTGAGCATCGGGAATTTTGCTTCATAACTTCTTATTTTTTTTAAATTATATCTATAATAGTCTCCTATGGATTCCAATATATGAATCTAATTTAACACTCCCTCTGTTCTCTAATACTTGTTCCTCTTTCCATTTTGGGATGTTGTCTAATAGTTGTCTCCCTTTCCATTTTTAGAAAGTTTTACGGAGTATCAATAAATATACCTGTATACCCTCATTCTCTTTCATACTTTTTCATTCTCTTTCCTATTTTTTCATTTTAACACAACCCACTACACATTTTATCCTATCCCTATTAATTACTTCTTAAAACTTGTGCCAAAGGCTATTAGAGAACGAAGGGAGTTTTAACTTTTGGAAGATGATCAAGACATTTCATTGAGCATCAAGTCATTTTCATTGAGCATCAAGTTTATTCCATTGAACATTGAAACTCTGCAATTGAGCATACAAATTTCAAAACTTGTTGAACATAAAAACATCTTAATTGAATAGTCAACCGTAATACTAGTTATCTTAAAACGTTATATCGATGTACATTTCGTGTAAATATTATACTCATTTGGGTATAGCATAAAACTCATTTTGTACACTCATTTTATGATGTTATACCAATGCTCATTTATTTAAAGTGATGCTCATAAATGTATAACATAAAAATCATTTCTATAACTCAAACATGTAACATAGTCATTACAAATAACTTAGAATGCATCTTTCTTAACAATAAAGCTCAAACCAATTTTAGCACAATACACATTGTAAAATTGTTGAATGCTCATTTTAAATGTAATGATATAAAGTATAACATTAATCGCTCAAAACATCACCTAAGAATCATTAATAGTTGAATCCAATATATAAAAAAACCAAACAAAAAATCTAATAGCAAATTTAAAAAAAATAAAAATTAGAAAATAACAAACAAAATTAAGAATTTATAATTCAAGTAGCATTACAGCTATATTAATCAATGCTAAAAATAACTATTATGCCAAATAAATTCTACTTAGTCAATACTATATTCAACTACAACAAAGTTTATTTAAAATTTGCTTAAGAAATGAAAAAAAATTCACTTCAGAATTTTTACGATCAGTTGGTGGACATTACAATTTAGAAAATAATTTTAATGAAACTATTAGATCATTAATTACTTTTTAAATTGAGTGATAAAGATGCTTCAATCAGACTATCATTATCTTTAATGTTTTGAGAATTCAAATTGAGTAACTTTGGGAAGAACTTTATAATTATTGAAATAAAGGACAAAAAGAATGGAAGGGAGAAGTCCAAGAGTCCAGGGAGAAGAAGTCTTGCAGGGAGAAGTCCGTCCATTCACGGGAAGCATAGAGAGCAAAAAGGCTGAAACTTGTAAAGAATTGCAAAAGTACCGGGTATACATCTGGGTGTATGATATAGTTTGCGAAAGATGTTAGTGGAATCCAATTTAGAAAACATCATATTTTTATGGCAAAAAGAATGTGTATCTACAAAATGGGACTAAGAAAATATTGATTAAAATGATTGATCAAAGTTTACTATCATATACGACGTGTTGACGTACTAGAAAATGAAAGATGACTAACTAAAAATGAAAGGAAGTAAAAAGACTTATTCTTGTGTAGATTGTGATTTGTTATGAATTTAGAAACATTATGTCCGTCCCATTAAACTTTGTCAACTTTCTTTTTTAATTGTTCTATAAATTAAACTTCGGGCATCTGATTCTGTTCATTTCTTTCCTATTTGCACAAACCTCAATCATATTAGTACATTTTTTACACTTTATTTTTCACCTAAAACAAAGTTGTTGATGTTCATGGGAGGGAGGGTAATAATATTATATGGCGTACAAAAGATTATTTTAAATGAGAAATGAAGTACCCTGTATAAAGTAAATACTCCTATGATCAGACACTACTTTTTAAACACAAATAATATTTTCTCTATTTCTTGTCAAAAGACAAGTCAAGATAACTTTTGTTTGAAATGGAGAAAGAAACAGTAATTCATTCATACATTTTTCAAATACTACGTGACAATTTTTTGAATATCTTTATCGAAACACCTTTCAACGTAATGAGACGTGCGTTCAATTGTTTAATTAATTTGGTAAGTTATTTCATCAAATTCAAATAAGATAACTATGTTGGATCAAAAACATAAATGGTACCTTAACTATTGATAATGTTGCATTTTGATACCTTAACTCTTAAATGAATCAAAACAGTACTTTAACTATACATAAATGTTTCGAATTTAGATTTTATTCAAAATTTTGACCAAAAAATCACACGTGAAGACCAACATTCTATGCGTAATGTCACCTTATTTTTGTCCATATGGTCACTATAGGATGACTCCACACATGAATTTTTGTTCGTCATAAAGGATTTTTTGGTCAAAAAGTAAATATTATTTGTGCAATTATGTTACGTTCTCATGAAGGTAACTAATTAACTATGTTTATTAAGTTCGTTGGACTTATATATATTCAAAATGTTACGTTCTCATTTCGTCTTCCGTAATACAATCTTGGAGTTGCAATTCTCCCATGGCCATTCTCATCCCATAATCTGTTTCTAACCTCAATTTCCATTTCTCGTTCATGGAGGTTTTGGGTAATTGCTTTTTCTGTTGTTGATTCAGTGGCGGCACTTGTGTGTGCATCCGTGTAGAAGGGAGCTCGAGGGGCCTCGGCTTCCCCAGATTTTTTTATGTATATACGTTTATATAAATATTTATATATTGACAGTAAAAAATATAATGAAATTTTAAGTTTTGATCCCCCGACATAAACTCTTTAAGCCCCGTTTGCCTAACTAGTCATTCTAACTCTGCCATCATGTGTGTTTAGTGGTTTAAGTTGGTGATGGTGAACATGGTGGCATATGAGGATTCTTTACCATGTCAAAGGCACATTGTCATACTTGATATTGGTGTTATGTGTGCACAAATGTTGGTTTGCAATTGTTTGTGACCGACAAAACGTGCACAGAGTGAAAGTCTTTATGCACATGAAACATCTTTAATTATATTTAAAGTAAATCATTTCAAAAGTAAATAAAAATGCAAATGTTCATCAAAGTGTTGAAGTCTCATCGGTTGGACGTCTTTTCGTTCTTAATTTTAAATATGAGTGTGATTATATTGTAAATTTGTAATTATAGTATCATAGATTAAACAAATTCCATTCATGGTTTTTACTCCTATAAAAGACAATAACATGTATAGTCACTTCTATTGTGAAATTGAGGCTATGCTGTAAACCTGTAGTCATACTCATACACCCATACTCCGTATATATTTTCGTATTTGACCCAAACGTTGTATCGTAAGTTCAGTTCAAATAGTAAATAATTTATCCACGTAAAATAAAAGAATAAGTACAAAAAAAATTGAAGTCAGACTACAAGAGTACAAGATAACCAACCACAGTACATATGAGAATGATAATTTTGAGACCCAGGTTATATCGACTAAAATAATAAATAAGACGTTAAAATTAGGGTCACTGTGATGCTTGGATACTAGCTAGAATAGCTGCTCTTCTTAGATCTGTGATAGAAAACACTCTCCAGGCAACCCCGCCTTGAACTTCTTTACATCTTTGCAGTAGTCGTACACAATGTACTTTCTCCTAACCGAATTCATTTGCCCCGCCTTTGCATCACTCAGCCTGTTAAATGCACCTGCATCCTGCGGGTTGGTGCCTGATGAAGGCGTTGTGCACTGACTGATGCTCTCCGGCCCCTCCAAGTAACATGCCCTCGACTGGAAACCCCGACACTTGGCCACGAATGGAGCATTGCTCCACTCGATCTTGTCCAGGCCTGCCCTCGTTGCCCAGTCATCTGCGTTCCAAATGCTCGTGTATACCTTCATGCCTTGTTGGTTTGGGAAGGGGATCCCCTCACTTGAATAGTTTCTGTATACCCTAATTGGAATCCCATCGACGTACCATCTGAAATCCGAAATCACATTGAGAATGATTATGTACAACTTGTTGGTCCCCACAAGTTCAAACAAGTTAGTAATTAAGTACTCCGTAATAACAAATACGCTCTCCCGTACATCACCATTTGGAAAGGTGTTTGACACCAATATTAGTCTTCTTCTTCTTCATTACCCCAGTGCCACAAAGGCTCCCACCTATGGTGGGGTAAGGGGGGGTCGGATGTACGCAGCCTTACCCCTGTACTAAAGTACAGAGAGACTGTTTCCGAATGACCCATAGTGAAAATCGCGTCGAAAATTGCATAGACCGACTGCTGCTTCATAACAAAGAAGCGCAGACAGTTTAGTGGGCCATTTTGCTTTATTCCATCATATTCCCAAGCCAAAAAATAGCGAGTCTTTGGCTCCACCGCAAATGATGGAAAGTTTGACACCAATATTAGTGAATAATCAAATTTTGTGGCTAATATTGAATTTGAAAGAGTGATCATGAGCTGCTAAATATTGTCGCTTATAAAATGTGACATACATTTTGGGAGTGACCAAAACGGGAACGGGATATAGAAAACGGATGGAGGGAGGATATGACTAATTTTAAAAATAATGGAAAAGTATGTCTTTTTGATTATTTTTGCAGTAACTCTAGCAACAATGAAATCATTGTATTTACTTGCAGTGACTGGTTCCATCATGAAAATGTTTTATTTTACTATGCAACGTTTGTGATAATATTTCGCAAACTATAGCAACAGTGAAAATGCTACTCCATATACAGAGTATTTTACTATGCAATGACCATAACTGTATTTTATAGCAGCGACCATGAAAGTGTTTTATTTTACTATGCAATAACCATTTTGTTATTTTCACAAAGACAAAAGTATCCAAGAAAATCCCCTGTTTTACTATGCAATGACCCTGAAGGCATCTAACAGCAAGTCAGCAACTATGGAAAATGTTCCATTTTGACATAGTGATCATGATTTTTTTTGCAATTGCTGTAGCGACCATGTAGTCATATCAACAAGTTTTGTTTTAATAAACCCATAGGAAAAAGCCCCTTGCATTAACACATATTCAAGAACTATGTATCATGTTCAGGAGTGAGTGGACTTACACAACAGCACTGGGGTTCCAATGAATCGTGTAATTGTGATAGTCGGCAGTGGGGTCAAACCATGGGTAGAATTGCACTTCCCGGCCACCACCACCCTGAGTGAAGATGTTTGTATGGATGATGTAAGGTTGCCCAGACACATTGCCTAGGAACTCAAAGTCGATTTCGTCATGCTTGATGCCACTAGAGGATAGCTGTGAGCCAGCAAGATTAGGCAAATTGTTAGGTGGGTATGCCGAAGTATGTCTTATAATATCATACAACACCACATTTACAAAAGAATAAAAAATGGCCACATATTTTACACAAAAGTTAGAAAGAAGTTGACTGATGAAATGTATTAAACTGGTTATGAAATATTCCTAAAATTACCATGAAACATAGTGACATTGTGCCATTTGGTAACCTTGTCTTTGGGTTCTTAGCCATTTTTTGTCATAGCACTATTTTTTTATTCGCAGCCTAATCGACTAATAATGAAAATTGAAAACAAGGGTTGATGTACATTTTGAAAGAATTAGCTAAATTGGCAGAAGATTATTCTAACTTAGTTTACATACGAAGTATAACTTTTTATCATTTTATGTTTTTGTAGGAAGTATAATTTTTCATAATTTTATCAATTTAACCATAACTTCAGCCATTTCAACCTATTCACCAAATTTTACTATATCTAATGATACCAAGCGGATTGACATACATCATCCATATACAACAATATTTATGAAACCTTTTTCATCCCTAGTTCCTCAAGAAATTATTTTTTGCAATATTATTATAAAATATACATCGTATATTTGGATCATCAATACATCATTATTCACAAATTTATATTCACCACCATTCTAAACATTAAACTGATTTTATTTATCCCATAATGAGTAATGACTAAGATACATAATTAGGCATGTAGCATCATCATCATAATTACTTGCACTGGTTGTATGTACAACCATTATAAAGTTGTACTTTAAAATTTGTAAATGCCAAAAACAAAAGTAATACTCCGTACTCCGTAATAAGATAGTACAAACTACAAAGAATTACCACAAAAAAAGACAGTACAAAAAAAGACAGTACAAAGAATGATGGAACATACATAGAATGCTGTGACAGTTCCAGCGGAGTTGCCAGGTACCAACTTGATCTGCATCTCAAAGCTTCCAAATAAGAAACTGCTCTTCGATTGAACACCAGAACCTATACACCAATTTTGGGTTGGTCAGGTTCATCCTTTACTAGTTTACATTGATTCCTATAGGATTCTTGATGCCATTCGTCCTGCCGCCTAAACCGCTTTAAAGATTTGGTATTTGGAAAGTACTTTTGAAATTCGAATTCAAATCCATCTTTACTTTTATAAAGACCAGTTAAATTATGTGAAAACCCATCAACGTAAAATCCCGTACTTTTTTCCCTACCCCACACTTTAATCTCAATCAACAAAGCGATGTCCGATCTTAGATCTAATGGCCATGAGAGGCAGAAAAGCCAAATCCACAGTAAAATTGGTCAATTGCCTAAGCTGTCATTAACAGCGTTAGAGAATTTTACAACAATGATTGAACTGCAAACTCATCATTTTAAGCACAGATGTGTAAAAGTACACAACTCAAAAGGTTAGGATAAGTCAATTTGATGTGCTTTCATATACTTAAATTATACAGAGTAGTATAATTTAAGTACCATAAATCATACTCCGTATAAAGTTCTTCTAATTTAAGAATATATGCTTAAATTAGAACTGTATACTAGGTATGGTTTATGGTAAAACAAGAAATTAGAACATTGAATATTAGCTAACTGATATACTCGAATATACTCCGTAAAATGAAAAACAATTTGTCTCTTCCTTTTCTCCTCCATCTGATCCAAAGCCCAAAATCAAAGAGATCCTCTAAAGAGATTTGATACGGATGAAAGAAATGGCTACTAAACAAGAGTAATTAGAGGAAAGGAAGCTTGCCGGAAGTTTGGTCGAGGACGAGCTGAAGATCATCGCCTTGCATTGTGGAATGGTTAGCACCGCCCCAGTAGACGAACATGCTACTAGCAGTGTTGGCATTGACAGAGAGAATCGAGTGGAAAGCGATGGTTGAGAAGAACAGGGCCGCGATTGATGGAAGCCCAAAACCTGCCATTTTTCTCTACCACATCCAGCTCCTTCTTCTCTCTTTCTCTTTCTTATTTCTTCAGTTTTCTGTGGGTGATGCACTATTACTCAGTCCGTGCTTATCTAAGACTCCGGAACCGTGTTTTTCTTTTGTTTTTGCTGTCAATTAATGGCCGTTGAGTATATTCTGTATACTACCGTCCCTCATTAAAAGTTTGTCATCCTTCCACATTAAAAGTCTAAAACATGAATAAATAAATTAACAATTATGTGGTTGGGATTTTCATAGAGTAGGTAAACTAAAAGAAGTAGGGAGATACATGACTAAATGAGGGTGATGAACAAACTGTGATTTCATAAAATATATACGGAGTATTCAATCTATTGTTTTATATAGTAAAACTGAGTTATAAATAGCTTATGTGTCATATTCTCATTGGTTAACAAAAACAAATAACACCACTCTTACTTCACGGTTAATCACATCACATTTAATTAACCATTAAATATCTCCTCTTTTCATGGCTAATTAATAGGTAAAAATAAATTGACACGCCCCGGTTAAGTAGGTAGAATTCATGGAAAACCAAGTACGATTAGAGCATCTCCAATACTCCACTTTCAACATTAAAAAATATATGCCACATCATTTAAGTGAAAAGCCGTGTTAAAAAACTTGCTCCAATGCAATCTTTAGACTTTGCTGTTGTGCGTATGTGTCAAGCAAAGTGTCAAAGGCACTTTCGAATTTTACAAAGCCATTTAGAAAGGCTGAGTCAGCTGTTTGGAAAATTATTTGAAAACAATTCCGAATTTTTGGTGAAAACTATGTACGAGTGGCCTGGGTTTGTGGAGGCGGTAAATTCGGATTTTATGTTTATCCATTACTGCTAGTAGAAGCAGCAGTTGTAGAAGCCTTTTTTTTACGTAACTTCTTTCTTTTGAATTGCATTGGAGAAGGTTTTGCACTTTCAATTTATGATGCTTCCACTCTCACCTTATGTGGCTTGACATTCCATACAATTCTTGCCATGTGTCCATTATTTCTTAATGTTGAAAGTAGAGCATTGGAGTTGCTCTTAAATAGCTCACTCTTGATGGCTAATTAATAGGTACGTAAGAAATAAAATGCTACGTCATTATTCAATCTTTATTACCGAATGATTAAAAAAAATCTTTTCTATCAGGATGGTTTTTTTTGGAGGATGTTTAAAATTTGGGAAAATAATGATTACCCCTTGAGGTTAGGTGATAATTATTAAATCAACCTTATATTTTTAGAACTGAATTATTTAACCCTTAAGCTTTTACTAAAGTTAGAATATCCCCCTTTTGTTAAATCTAAGTTGCTTGGACCGTTAATTGTAAGTGGAATTCCCAAAAAATGTCCTTATCTATTAAACTAAACTAAGGAATGGTATAAACTAAGAGTACATCAAATGAAGGTTTCCAGGCTTACTCCAAAAGTACTCGAACAAAAAATTAATGTTATCCAAAGCATCATTGGAGCACACTTGAAAGTGCTCTGTGCTTTTCCTTTTTTCTTCCTTTCTGCTCCAATTTCAATTCTCAGTCGCAGTCCCATTCGTACATCAAAGGAAAATTCACTCAGCTGTGTATTTGAAGTAGGAGTGGACAAAAATACCAAACCGGCATGGTGTCAAACCAGACCGATATGGTACCGGACCGAAAAACGAGACTTGAAAGAGATCTCAACTTTTTTTTGTTGCGAACCAGACTGTACCGGTTCTAAACAATGTCATGATCGGGTAAAATTTGTACTACTATAGTTTATCTGAAATTTAATAATTATGTAATATTATGTACGAAGTATGAAAATTGATAAATTATGTGAATTTTTATAGGATGACTAAACTTTAACTTCCACTTAAACACTTGAAAAAGTGACATTGTTTGATATTTAGTATGATATGGTAACATCCCGATTGAAAATAGAACCGTACTAAACGGGTTTAGGTCTAAGATCAAACCGGACCGTTTCAATAGTCATGATACTAGACTGGACCGGACCGAACCCACTAATTTGAAAAAAAAATATGGAGATGAGAGGATTTAACAAATAATCCCTAAACAAGGGTATTTTAGTCAAAGAAATAGGCATTTGATGAAAATGTTGATAGAAGGGGGAGATTACAACATTAATTGTAGTTGAGGGTGTAAATAGTTGACTTTTAAAAATATAAGGTTGAACTAATAATTATGATCAAACTAGAAGGAGTTAATCATAATTTTCCCTTAAAATTTTCTTGACTGATCTAATCTGGTTTAAACTGATCAGTTCTGATCTGATAAACATCAGATATGTGTGTATTTTATAATTGTTCAAGTTTGGTCTGATATGATCTGAAATTGAAAACAATCCAATCAAAAACATCCTAAATTTTGAGTTGTGAAATAGTGATGTATCAATCTCTTATTGATTTCAGTTTTATAAAGTAAAACTGAATTAAAAATCAATGATGTGAGAATAATACAATTTCTATTATCGCTACAATTAAAACAATTAATTAACTCCCTCAAATGATGCATCATGCGATTCACGGCTGATTTGGAGCAAGAGAAGCTAAGGAGAAAATATCTCTCTTTTTTCGAAGTGAAATAACTTTTATATTTATAATCCATTTTTTTACAAAAAAATATATCATCAATATCGCATATATAAAAATAAAATCACTATTTTATATATAATAAAAATGAGTTATAAATCAGTAATGCAGTAATATTTGAGATTGTTAGTAGTTAATAAAAATTCTATTGTCACTCGGCCGGCTGGTGCTTCACTGCTATTTTTACTCGGTGCGTCAGTGTTATTCACTTTAATCATGCCGACTTATTTAAAGAAAAGGGAGGATAATATTTTTTGCTACTCCATTTTTTATAAAAAAATGTTTCAATATTCATAAGTTTTATAATCTTTTATATGACACCAATATTGCATATATAAAAATAAATAATTATTATTTTTATATAATAAAGCTAAATTATAAATTAATGATGTGTGAGTCTTTTATTTGTTACGAAATATTCCATTACCACTCTTGCTAAATCATTTAATTAATCTGTGTTCACGTGGTGCATCACTGTTATTCACTCAATGCATTACTGTTATTCACTCGGTGCATCACTACTATTCATTTTAATCCAGCCAACTCATTCTGTGCATCACTCCAAGTTTTACAAAAAAAAATATAAAAAATTATTATCTTTCATATGACACCAAATTCCACATATAAAAAAAACTATTGTAAAAATTGAGCTATAAATCTATTATATATCAAATCTATAGTAAAATTTGAGTTTGGGTGTGCATTATGGTAAGTGCACATTTGCACAATAGTCGTGACACATATAAGGATCCAATTTTCATTAAATATTTAAATTTATTCTTTTATTTAGTAAAACATGATCCCCAAACTGCTGACATGTCACTTTGTTATTGGCTAACAAAATTTCTATTTTCATATTATTATGAACACATTTAATTAGTTCCAAACTAAAAGGAGATGGAACAACTATAATGAAAAAGGGTGAAAAGAAGTCGGAGAAAAAATGTTAAATAACTAACACTTGACATTATGTTAAAAGATTTGATTAGTTCGTAACAGAGATAGAATGCCTAATGGAAAAGTCTTGAGAAAAAGTAGGAGAAAAACGTAAAAACATATCCTTAGAAGTTATTCTGGTACTCCTATTCTTATTCTTATTGTTTACGTACTGCGTATTACTTATTCTTATTTTATTCAGACCAGATCAGATAAAAAGTCAATCAGATTAGACAAAAACATTTAAATCAGAAAAGTTTAAATCACACCAGAAACACTCTATTCAAATCAGAAATGTTAAGACATAAATTATTTTTACTATTATGATGATTCCGATCTGATCTAAATATTTTTGTAGGTTATTATTGTAGGTTGCTTCCATTGAAATTAATTATGAATACTATTCTTATTATTATAATCATTATTTGTATGCTATTGTTATTCATAAAGCATCATATATTATTACTAAGGTTATTGTCAATGATATTAATATTATTTAATTATATTCTTAATGTATTTTTATTGTTAACAGTATTTATAAGTGACTATTATTATAAAGTGTAGGTTGTTGGTATCTATAATCATATTATAATAGCAATACTACATATTATAATAATATTGATAAAGCTTATTATTATGATGATCGTAATTACAAAAATAAAGATAATTATAATGATAATAAAATGATATATTATAATTATACTTATAATTGTAATTATAATTATATTTATGGTGGTTAGTTAATAAAAGAATTGGATTATTGACAAAATTTTGATGATATCCTATTAATAGCTCACAATGTTTATTAGCATTTGTCACCTCAGTCATATCAAATTAACACTACCGGGGCATGCCCCGGGTGTTACACTAGTTTTATGGTATAATGAATATGAAGTTATGCACATAATAACTTCATTCATATTATGATAAAAAAAAACTTCATTCATATTTATATCCCCAAATCTTATTTGAGTAATATTCTTAAAAAAACATCTAAAACTAGCAACAAATTAATTATTTGGAATGAAGCCATCATTTCATCTGCCTTAGGTTTTGATTTTCATATTATAGTATTGATAATATGAATTTTTCGTTATTTGCAATGGAACCAAAGATTCATTATTTTTGGTTTACGAATATGATGGAATAAAGCAAAATGACTCACTAAACTGTCTGCGCTTAATTGTTATGAAGCAGTAGTCAGTCCATGCAATTTTCGACGTGATTTTCACTATGGGTCATTCGAAAACGGTCTCTCTGTGCTTTAGTACAAGAATAATATTGCTTACATCTAATCCCCTATTATTAGGTGGGAGCCTTTGCGGCACTGGAGCGATGATGATGATGATGAGTATTAATAATATGAAACTGATATGAAAATATTTTTTTGCAAACAATACTATCATAAATTTATTAAGGTTATATTAGTTCAAATAATGTATTAAAGATGGCTAAATAAAAAAGGACTTTCGAAATTATAAGAATGCAATAACAATGATGAAGTATATTGCTATACAACACAAGGGTATTAACCTTACATAGAGGAGCCTTGATAATCGTCTAAGGCAAATCAACCCGAGGCTTAACCCATCGAGACCAAGCCCAAAACCCATTTCCAGATCATCAAGATAAGTCCAAAACTACAGCCGAGCCCGTTCCTCGACCAAGGTTAGAGTCAATTCCGGCACAAGGGCCTAGCACAAGGTCAAATCCGGTGTCAGATACCCAAGATCAACAAGGCAACCCCTATCACTACATAGGCTGAGCTCGATACACCCGAGCCTGGCCTCGTCATCTATGAGTTGATGCATTACTTAGGTTCAGTTGTATCTTATGGGTTGTGCCCTACAACTTCTGAGCTTGGTATCCACAAACATCTTTACAAGCGGGCCAAGCCGAGATCAAGAGCTCAAGACCTCAGACAAACACTGTGGACTTAGTCATTTCAACGCTCACATTCCACAACTAGAAGCAATTGTCACCAAAGGAAAAAGCACTTTTAGGGCTTCATCACTCATTCTGTTACATACGTCAGCTGTCAGACTTACACTAGTGGCTTATTCAACCATTCTGTTAGCAAAGGAATAATAATCCACAGAACGAGTACCAATCAATCAGTCAATTAAGGATTCTCTCAACAATCAAGCCTTACATGTGGCATTCATTTAGTAGATGAGTTATTTTACTCATTCTCCAAGTATTTCCATAATTTAGTATAAATATCACATTCCAACTTGTGAAGAGGGACATGAAACTCTCTATTTTGCATATTGTTACTCTGCCGGTTTTGCTACCCAGTTTATACTTCACATATTTTTTCCGACTCACGCTCGGATTCCTGCATACCCCCGGTCTTATATAGGCTATCAAACAACTATCATGTTTGTAAACAATTATTTTATAATTTACTTGTTGAACTATGACATGTTTCATAAGCATCATATCGAGCTAGTTTGAAGCGAATAATGTATCGAGATCGTGCCGCGTGACATCCAAATAACAAGCAACACCCAACGATAACTAAACGAGTAATTTGTGATACTAATATGTTATAGCTAGAAATCATATTTGCATGGCATTTGTATTATAAATACTACGTATAATAATTCAACTGAATATAAATAGACAGAAAAGCATACTTTTCATAATAAGGAGCCACAAGAAAATATATGCCGAAATTCTGTGATGTCTCGGTGTATGTAAACTTTCATATCTTTATGGTTATTTTCACATGTAGTTGCACAAATAGTATTAGGGCACACATCCATTCAAGTTGTGATTATGTATCCAAACCTTGTAGATAATCATGCATTGCTTGTAAAAAAAATGAGTTTAAAATGCAACATAAATTAACTACTATAATAATAAGCTGTACAGGTTGAACAATTGTTTTGCCAAAAATGAAGTTTATGATTCAAAATTTTTCATTCATTAGTATTAACTATTAATTTCAACCTCTGAATAATCGAAAAAAATAAATTTTCCGAGCTTAAGGGGGTGTTTGGATCCGATTCTTAAAACTGCTTCTGCTCCTTCAGGGAGCAGAAGTCGAAGTGTTTGGGTGAAAGTGCATAAGTGATTATGGTGCTCTAATTTACTCCTAGAATCAATTTTTTTAGATTTGGGGGGGGGGGGGGGCAGTTTCTGAAAACTGATTCTGATTCTGCTTTTGCTTTAAAAAAGAAGCAGAATCATAATCAATTCCAAACACCCCCTAAATACAGAGTATACTTTTAGGATTAACTAATATTAAGCATTACATAAGTATAATTGTTAAAACTAATACTACCTCCGTCCCTCTAAGTTTGGGACAAGAGAAGGTGACACAGTTATTAATAAAAGTGAGTTTATGTGGTTGATATTAAATTGATAAAGTAAGAATAAAGTAGAAATGATTTAGAACCACACAAACTTTACCAAATAAGGTATGAGACAATCTTAGTGGGACGGACCGAAAAGGTAAAATGTGACAATCATAGTAGGACAGAGGGAGTAGTTGATAAAACAAAAAAGGGAAACCTGTCAAATACATCCTCGAACTATCATAAAAAAAAGGTCAATCAAGTCCTTCTATAGGAGGTTCTGTCCGGCCGTTGCGATTTGGGGCAGTTCCCGGTGGAATTTTTTGATGAAATGTTTTGAGCATGTTATTCACCAAATCTAGTTTACTCATACCAAATTTCAGCTAAAAATTCAATCGGGAACACATTCAAATTAATTCTTGAAGATAACTGCGCATTTTTGCGTTCTCGAATTAATTTGAATGCTCTCCCGATTAAATTTTTAGCTGAAATTTGATATGAGTAAATTAGACTTGATGAATAAGATGCTCAAAAAATTTCATCAAAAAATTCCACCAGGAATCGCCCAAATCGCGACGACCGGACAGAGTCTCCTATAGAAAGACTTAATTGACTTTTTATGAAAGTTCGAGGACGTATTTGACAGTTTTCCCAACAAAAAAAGTTTAATCTTAAACTTCATTTTCAACCTAAAATGAAGTTAGTAGGACTTCCCGGCCTGATATAAACGCTACTCATTATTATCACATTTGTATTTATATATATAATATTTAAATTTCAATCTAACTAGTCCAGACCAAAATATTCCAAGTTTTGGACCGGGCTAAAAATGGAACCACAAAAATCTTTGAATTGAAGACCGTACCAGTGTAACCTGTCCGTGTCCGGTCTTGAGTCTCTTGATCAACCAGTCCGGTACTCCGGTTTGGTCTAATTTTCCAGTCTGGTTCGGATTATCCTCAACCCTACAGTCTACACCCTTACCGCTAGACCATTGTTTTGCCACTTGCCAGGGACTATCATATTCAAGAGGCTACGTGTCTACGATGAATCATAAAATGAGGAACTTGTCAATCAGGCTGCGCACATAACAAAGAACGCAAACCTTGTCTAATATATTGAACACTCGCTTTTTACATGAAAAGCTGATACGAAGAAGGCAACACCTCAATAGTTCATAGGATAAAAAAACTAGGCAAAGATGTAGTGTACATCTTTGTCAAACAAGCGTCTCTAAAGTAGTGTACAACTGATTTAAAGCACCGAGTAGGGTTAATATTAAATTAAAAGAAAGCAGTCAAATAATTCCTAAAACAGTTATTTTTTTTTTTTTTATCTTCCTAGTACAACAGCAGTGCCTTGACCAAGGACATATGATGATTCATTCATGTACGAAATAAAGAATAAATTAGCACAGATGGCTGGTACACTACGGACTAAGCTGGGACGTAGACCAGCATGTACATGTACATAAATAAGATGACGCAGAGACCGAAGGTGGAGCCTATAGTTGCAGAGATAAATATGTTGAGCTTCCATCTTCATATACACCAGAAAATCTTACTCCTGACATTACCCACTCCTTCAAAACTTCAATGCTAAATCTGGTGTTGCTGCATCTGGATATCAATCAAAACCATTGGTGGTAGGATTCAGGAATATGGAAATAAATACAATAGATAATTTCCCATAAGATTAGTACTGATTTGTCAATTAAGAAAACTATTCAAGAATTGAGCTACAGTAAAGTGATGATGGTTTCATTTTGAGGAAAGTAGTTATTCTAGTCCTCCAATAATAGGGAAATAGTAGATTTAGTCCCTCAATTACTAGTCTCTTCAAGTCCATCAATTATTATGAAAGTGGCGGTTTAGTCCATCACTGGAAGATTTTAGTTAATATAATAACTTGATTTAAACATCTCATTTTACAAAATAATTGCATAACATCACAGCCACATATTAAAATACTTTTTGCACAAAAAGAGGAATTATTTTACAATATAAATTGTTTAAACCCCTAAATCCAAATTCCATACATTATACGTTTTGTGTGTCTGATTTTATATAGACATGATAATAAATTTTGAAATGTAAATCATATAAGCATTTGATTACATTCTTATACGGAGTACAATTCTCTTAATTTTAAAAATAGAGGATGATAGAATTCATATTATTCACACTTTTTCTTTACTAATGAGAGGGCTACTAACAACCACTTCAGTAAAACCTCAATGACTATAAGCAGTGATACTAAATATTAGAGGCAGGAAATCCACTACTTCTGTATAATACAATAATAGGTATGCTAAAAGTGCCATTTACCCTAGTTCTAGTATCTTATTCACAGTTATTTATGACTATTGAGATGCACAGATTATCCTAATGGACGAGAATATTGCAAATAACAGAAAGATATAGACGGTACTTGAGTGGCATATGATGAGCTCTGAGCAATGTGTTTGATGAACTCTTGTTTTTTTACTTCAAAGTTGAACCTTGCATGGTCTAGCAATGCTTGTTCTCTCTGCATGTCTTCTAAAATTCTTTCTCTTTCCCATTTAATTTCCTTCATTTTATTCTCAACTTGGAAAAAGTTTTGAGGCGGACATGTCCTTCCAAAGTTCTTGGGAAATTTCACATCTACATCCCTTCATTCACAAATAACACACATAGAAAAATAATAGCAAAACATGTCAATGAGACAGAAAATATGATAAAATAACAAATTTGTTTCTGACAGTTATTTTTTTACCTGCTTCCCAGTGAAAATATGCCAGCACCTTTTATAATTCCACCATCCAAAGAGATCGCCCCGTTGCTTATACATGGGAGAGCTCGAAGCATCTCGATCCTCGTTTTGTACACTTGTAAGCGTGAAAAGAGATTGTAGAACAAGGTCTCTCTTAGGCCATGACCATTGCTTGTTACACAAAACAGATTAATGCTATCCACATTGATCATATTTACAGCGAATCCAAGAAAGCCAGGTGGAGATTCCCCATTTGGTAATTTGGGTATGAGAAGATCAAGCCTTCTTTGTGGGTCATCAGCTATAAAATCACCAGCAAATGGACTAAAAAGCAAACCATAACGTCAATGAGGATTTAAATTATAAGTACTCCCCCTAAGTCTTCAAATTATTTAAAAGCAACATGGTTAGTAAGTCGGTAATGTAAAACTAGTGGCTGCTGTGCAATTACAAATTAAACAAGTGTATTTTCTAAGTTTTTTTTAAATACATATACTAGTAAAATTAATGGCTGCCGTGCAATTATAAATTACACAAATGTCTTCTAAGATTTTTTTGAAAATACATATATTAAAATAGATATAAAATACTACCAAAATACTAAAATGTAAAAACCAGCCGCTGCTAACATAGATATGATTAAAATACAAAAAAATCAATACCTTTTTTGGTAATTATACATTCAATCAGCCAATTAAGCCAAAATACTACCAAGCACTTTCACTTGAGAAATTTCAACCATTTAAGCACTTTCAGCACTTTCGCCATTGCAGCCATTACCAAACAGGTCCTTAATCATTCATAACTTGTAGAGACATTAAAAGTAAATAAAAGAGTTGTACCTTATTTAAACGTGATACTTTTTAGATGGTGGGAGCAAAAAAAAAACAATTCATTAAAGTTGCTAATAACAACATCATAACCAGCCTAACCTTAAATTTTCAAGGCAGATGACAAGAAATCTGCCATCCAAGGGCCGCCCGATGGACATTCCAAGTGCATGAAGTCCAGAGCTTTTATCTACAAGGCCCTCCTGGTCATATGTTTCCAGCACTCTAACACCATCATAGGTCTTGCATACCACAGCTAACATGGTTTCTAGTCCCAAGTAATCTGAGAGAACCCTTAATTTCAGATAAGCCCAAGAGAAATGTCAGGCACTGTACTCAGTAATTATGCCTATGTCTAATTTGTCAACTGACCTGCTTTTAGAATATGGAAGCTAAAAGTTTCATCAATTTAAATGAATAGTTGAGTACTAAAACAACTTGTCCAGTAGCTCACAAGTGTCACTGTGACATGGTCAACCAAAAACTTGTATTCATTTCACATGAAACTCCATCTTTGTTGAATTGTTGATCAGAGATCTAGAGAAAATTATAGTTGAGATGACTTTAAACACAATTTAAGTATTGACGAATAATGTAAGTCCAGCATTAGATGGTAACCAATTGATAAAAACTAACAATCAATAAAAGGGAGCAAATACAAATCACAAGGTAAAAATAACTAACCTGCTGAGTTTATCATCTTCAACGCTTGCAAGTGTGGCAACAACACCAAGCACATCTTTTGATAATGGAGAATTAGAAGCCTGGGTACCATGAAGGGTTTTCAATTGGCACAAAACCGCAGCTGCAGATTCCTCATGCTTTAAAATCTGCTCAAGTGTTTCCTCCTCACTCCGTACATAGGAGAGACCATCATTCTCAATTGCAGGGCTGGTTGCTGAATGATATTTTCCAAGTGCAACTGGGACCAGATATATATATATATATAAAACAGAAAATGGAAAAAGTACAATGAACTAAGTCACTAAGATTACACTTTGTATTAAAAATGTGAGATGAAACAGTGTGAGAAGAAGAAAAAATGCACCTTTTGTATTGAAAGTAGTTTTTGTTTTAAAATATTAAAAATACATCCTTTCGGTTTTATAAAGATTACAAACAAGGATAAAAGGTAATTTGGTCATTAATAAAAATGAGCAGCTTTTTCATGTTTCTTCTCACTTGAGAAAAGAAAGAAAATGACTGTAGGTCTCAGGTTGGTTTCATCATTCATTGCTATTTCTCTAGAACGCCAAACACATGATGTGTTGCATTTCTTTTTTTCCTCCCCTCCCTTTCTCTCGTCCTTTTATGGTCAAACAGAGGCTAAAGGTCAGTAGTGGTTATGAAAATAGACTGAATACAACACATCTTCAAAACTATTAGACAGTGAATTGCATCCAGCACAATGGTATCACACATCTTCAAAACTATTCATGACAATTTATGCAACATTCAGACTTAAATACATAGAACTGGACATTTTTTCTGAGTAACTGAATATCTTTTACAATATTGTGTCTTTCTAGTACCTTTCTTTTCATTAGAAGAGATTTTTTTATTTATTTAATAAAAAGAAGTACCTTGTAAATCTATAATCGAATCATCCAATTTGTTCTTCTTAGTCTTTAAAAACTTCATATTATCTTCATGTTGCTTGACTCTCAGACCCGCCTCCTGTAATGCATCCTGACATTTCTGCAGTATTTGGTAGCAAATACAGTATTATAACTGTATGATATTCACTTATATAATAAGATAAACAAGAACTCCAACAACAGAATGTGTGTGTGTAACTCTTGACCCAATGTGTTAATCATTTATCATGCCTTCATTCATGCAGAGTAAAGAAATAGAACCTTCGCTTTGTAGGCAGCTGAATCTGCAATACCATTCTGTACTCCCGGGTTAGCAAATGGAGGTACATTGTTCGGACCTGTGTGGTTGAACATTGATGGATCATGCATAACAATTGCCTTTGAATGGTCTGGAACCTACTAACCAAACCAAGTTAAAAGAACATATAACTTCATTAATAATTATCTCAAACATATTCAATACAAAGTACTATTTTAAACACTAGGGCACAAAATCTCCAAGATCAGAGCTTTCCTAAGGAAAGCGCCAAAGCTGAAGTATCTTTGGAATTGATGCTGCTTTGACTTCTTTTTTAGAAGAAGTCGCAGATCAAATTTGCAAAGTGGGTGTCCTCCAACTTCTAACAAAACGGCTCCTAGGAGCAATTTGGAGCACTTAATCTGCAGAATTTTGGCTCTTATGTACGAAGGCAACACTGCCAGCATATTGGTTGGTCATAAAATTACAGCTTTATTACAATTCTTTGATTTAGAAAATTATCCATCGTTTAAATGAAAGAGCGAACCTCAGCACCACCCATCTAAGCTTGATCTATTCACTGCTGATAAGATGTAAAAAGATATGTAAGGAAAAACGAAACAAGATACCATAAAACAAGAGGACGGTTAGTAATCATCCACTAACCTCCGGACCTAAGAGGAAGAGCAGATGATAACCGGAGAGAGCCGTGGATCCAAACAGAGATGGTAGAGTTAGGTTATTCCAAATCTTGCATGTGATTTTCTAAATGGACCGGATCAAATTGATGAGTTAGAATCTATAGCATGAAATTCTAGTTAAATCGGCCGACTTAGCTAATTCAACTTTGCTATAACTACCCCATTTTGTACCCCATTTTATACCTCACCCTATTTTTGTGGCTCACAAAAGTCCAACACATTAAATGAATTGCTCCATTTTAATGAAGTACATTTGTGAGCTACAAACATAGGGGGTGAGTACAAAATGGGGTACAAAATGGGGGTAGCAATAGCATTTTTGTCGCTAATTTACTGATTCATGTAAATAGTATATTTAAAACTTTTTTAATGATAAATAAAAGAATTTTTTTTAAAAAAAATAGCTAGATGTTTTACAGTAACTTCAATTAATTATATCACAAAAGTATCTTAAAACTCACTAATGTTGATTAATATATAAATACATTGTGCAAAGTTAAAAATTATGTGTTTGGTAAACAAAAATGATTGATAAGATTGTTAAACCGAAAATATTAGTTACATAACACACTCTTAAAAGCTTTAAGCTGGAAAATACATATTAAAGTTAATAATAAAATTTTACAACTAATATGTATTTAATCTTATAGACTAATCTAAAATGGAGTTAATTATGCATATATAGGACTAAAAACCTGTCCGGTTGCACAAATAGGACCGAAAAAGAAAATTGTCTTTCGTAGGACTTAAAAATAGGTAAGTTACCAATTTTAGACGTGCGTGATGGATTCGAAGCACGAAGGAACGTATCGGGAGTTAAGAGCCGAAAATATAGCAACGATTAGCGCATTTATTATAGAATCGTATTTTCCGTCACAAATCGAGCGAATCCAAAAACAAAACTTCCGAAAATACCCCCGCCTGGACGTGTTCGAAGTGATTCGAGTTTCCATTTTTCTGGCTAAAAAACCACGAAGAAGGAAGGAGAAGTAGAGTTAAGATGGAAGAAGATGATTTTCAAAGCAGAGCACGAGAAGATTGAGCGATCGGATGAATCCAAACATGGTAAGTTTTTTGAGCTATGCATGTCACTGAATGTAAGCGGAAATCGCTCATGGCTGTAAAATCACTAATGTGAGTATTTTACGGAAGACTATGACATTATTCGCAGTTGTTGTTTGAATGTAGTAGTTGTTTGATTTGTGGCATTATTCGCAATTATTGTTTGATTTACGGCATAAACAAGTAAAAGATATATTACATTTTGGAAGAAAGAGTAATTGTTTATAATGGGGATGGTGTAGATAGTAATTGCGAAAATGGCAAAATAGTGGAAGAATTGAAAAACACGTAGAACAAGGAGGATTTGTTGGCGTGAGTATTTATGAGAAGACAATGAAAGTATTTCGTATAAAAACACTAAAATGGAGTGAAGGTAGTTAAGTCGGCAGTTTATGTGTGATTTATGTCATAAACAAGTGAAAGTTCAATTATATTTTGAAATAAATTTAACTCTAAATTTAATTGTGTATGTTGGGGCAAATAGTAATTGAGGAAATGCCAAAATAATGGACGAATTGGAAAAAATGTAGAATAAGTAGGATTTGTTGGTGTGACTATTGTAGAGAAGACAATGCCATTATTTAGAATGAAAAAACACTAAAACAGAATGAATATAGTTAAGTTGACATTTGTTGTTTGATTTGTATATGCTTGTGTAAATAGCGATTAAGGAAATGCCAAAATAGTGTACAAATTGGGAAATATGTAGAACATAGAGTAATACTAATATTTTGATGTATTTTCCACATTTTTTATAATTGGAGATAGTTGGATTTAAAAAATACACAGAGACAAAATGTTGGAAGAAATACTAATATTGTGAAGCACAAGTTATGTAAAGGAAACATTGAATGATCATAGTTTTGGAAAAAAATATATGTACTTAATGCCCTGGAGTGTTAATGTATTGTGAAAGTAATGACACTTTATTTGAATTGTTGATGTTATGACATAAGGATGTCATTTTTTTTTCAGATTGTTTGTTAATAGTTGGAGATGGATGAATTTAAAAAATACATAATGACAAAATGTTGGAAGAAATACTAATATTGTGAAGCATAAGTTATGTAAACGACAAATTCAATGGCCATAGTTTTGGAAAAAATATATGTACTTATTGCCATTGAGTGTTACTCTATTGTGAATGTAATGACACTTTATTTGATTTTTTTGATGTTATGGCATAAGGATGTCATGTTTTTCCAGATTTTTTTGTTTAATAGTTGGCGATAGGTGGATTTAAAAAAAAAATACACAATGACAAAATGTTGAAAGAAATACTAATATTGTAAAGCATAAGTTATGTAAATAACAAATTGAATGATCATAGTTCTGGATTTTTTTTAACCCGGGGGTAAACCACCAAAATCAGCGGGGTAAATGTCGGGGAACATTTACCGGATTTTATTAAAATGAGAAAACAATACAAAAAAGGAGGACCAAACCGAAACCTCTCAGGAAAAACAATAAATTAAACAAGCCATCTGATAAAAGGAATATTGAACAGATCAAAATTATATTCAATTTGAATTGGACTGGCAGCAAGGTAGTGGGATGGCCTATTTCCTTCCCTGAAGATATGTCGGAAGCTAACCCCTTTCCTAAAACACAAATGTCTGAATTCGACAAGGTCTTCGAACCAAGCATTCTTGATTCCTTCTGATAGATAATTAAGAACAACTTGAGCAACCTGAAAATCCTGGTAACCTTCATCAATCGCCCATCGGGTTGCCCTCATCACTGCTATCAACTCTGCTTCCAAGGACGAGGAAGCAGATATTGGAAATGCAATAGCACAGATCAGCTCGCCTCCTTGATTCCTCAAAATCGCACCTCGTGAGGCTGAATCAGGTATGAACACTGCATCTATATTCAACTTCAATCCTCTATTTAGTTTCAACCAACGAATAGGTTTTAATAGCTTCTGATTAAGTTTAAAACCGAGAGGAATTAGTTGTTCTTCGTCATAGTTTTGGAAAATATATACTACCTCCGTCCTGCTAAGATGTTCCTAGTTTGACCTACACATATATTAAGGAAATAAATTTACCAGGGGGTAAAATTTACTGTTTTGACACTGTTTCAACACTGTTTGGCACTGTTTTGCACCGTTTGACACTATTTTGATGTAGGATAACTTTCCATTTAGGGAAATGAGAACTTCATTTTGGGACTGCTAAAAAAGGAAAGCATGGAGATCTTAGTGGGATGGAGGGAGTATGTACTTACTGCCATTGAGTGTTACTCTATTCTGAATGTAATGACACTTTATTTGATCTATTGGTGTTATGACATAAGGATGTCATGTTTTACCACATTGTTTGTTTAATAGTAGTTGACACTTTATTTGAAATGTTTTTTTTGCTAAATTAGGTGATTCAGAGATCTTTCAAAGAAAATGAATTAGACAATGTTGAGAGCATGCAAATTAGATGCTACTCTAGTCTGAGTGAAGTCATGAAGAGAATATTGAAGAAACTGAAACCAAATGAGATAGAGGAGTTCAGAAAGACAATGCTCGGATGGGTTTTGGATGTGAAAGAAATGCGAACAATCATTGATAAACTACAGCTCGGTTTTCTATTTTTACGTACTTATCTACTTTTGTTTTTACCCCAGGGGGCATCGGGGGGAGGGGGATTTGGGAGGCCTGGGGTAAACTGGGCTCAATCTCACTCCGTAAGGGAGAGTGAGTCGGCGACCAGCTAGGCTGGACCGCTCCCTCCTACTTATTCTTTTATTTATCATTTCACTTTTTACTTTTGATGAATCAATCTTACTTTCTCTTACTTAATAGAGGTTAAAATTTTAAAACTTGATCGTTATCCTTCATTTTCAAAGAAAAATGGTACTTGTACACAATGATTTACATGTCAAGTGTATTTTATCTATGCATAGATATTTTTAGGTCACATACCCCCTTTACTAAAATGAAAATACGTACATTTGGCGTGTAAGCCGCCATGTATAAGTAGAAGGATTGATTTTTAAAACTCACACTGATTTATAAATATTTTCTTACTCTTTCTATGTTGTAATTTAAATATGCTTGTATTAGCATGGAATAAAGGTAGGAAGTAGGAACAAAATTTTATACTATGCATGAATGAATCCCTCTAAATCAATCTACTCCATTTGAACTTTGATCATTTTAGTTCTCTCTTTACACATTTAGTGATTTTATTGATTAAGCTAAATATTTATGTTTTGATCACAATGCTTTAATTGATCTCAGGATTTTACTGAATGGGGCCCAAATATAATCAATATTGATTACGATCATGGGTGCTGGTTGATTACCATGTTCGATTCAAGGTTTTTCACTTTTTGTAAAACATGTAAAATATTCAAGGTTCGACCATGGAAAAAAACTAAAACCCAACACACATAACTAACCCAGCACACATAACTCTTGCATATTTTCTTATTTTAAGAGGTGTTTGGATAATTGGATCTATTTCTTAAAACTATTTCTACTCTCTCGGGGAACAGAAACATATATTGTAATGTTTAGATGAAAGTGTTGAATCACGTTTAAGCGCTTCAAATTATTTCTAGAATAAGTTTTTAGAAGTTGGGGGAAATCGACTTTTGAAAAATTGATTCTGACTCTATCCTTGTCTTTAAAAAAGAAGTATAAGCAAAATAAATTCAAAACACCCTCTAATACAAAGACTACGTATTATTTAGGATATTCACATTCATTAGAGCGTCTACATTCATACTCTTTAACTAGATTATTTTTCTCCTACACATCAGTGCAACATCATAGTTTTCAATAAATTTTAAATTATTTCAAAGCAAACAACTCTTCATCAACAATGGTACTCAAATAATAAATTTTCTATTGTATGCATTAAATGGTAATCTTTAACGCAATTTCAATTTGACATAATCCATATAATCTTCAAATAAATTAATGTAGGGGATACCCTTAGTTTATTTGATGATGAATTGAATGATGTGGTAGATTATTTTAAAAGGTTTTTCCTAAAATATTACTACTAAAAAATCTAAGGACAAAAATGTGACTATAAGTTTTTATGTGCAAGTTTTTATAGTCACTATAATATAGCATTTGAATACAATTATTTTCATTAAAGTGACTAGAGTCACATTTTTGTTCACTACTTTTATTTTGGTTATATATTTGGATTTATATCTTATTTTAAAGATTATCATTGAGAGTTGGATTATTCAAAGGGATTATTGGAAAAGACAGTCCGGTATTAAGATTTAAATCCGAATTATTTATGATTTTTTTAAAGAAAGTGGCGTATAATGAAGAATCAGAATTTAGACAAGTTACAAAAACACAAAAGGCTCCTTCGACCACCAACCCTTGAACCAAACTTAAAATCAATCACCTCCCATAAAACAATATGATCAGCTAATCCTAAATTGGGCATAAACGAGCCAAAGATGATTAAAACAGAATTCTTATCACACACCCTAATCTACAGAGTACTACTAGTAACAAGAAAAAACACAATAAAAAACATTGGATTGATAACAAAATGGAAGATTAAATCTTAAGAACTTGAATGAAGATGCAACCCCATATAATTATGAGAAATTTGATCTTGTAACTAATAACCAGGACACGCATCCTCCAAGTTTTAGGTAGTTCAGAGCCATTCTTTTAGCAGTTTGATCACTACTTATCTGCTCTTGTCACATGCGCGTCCTCTTATGAATATCTAGGCCACTCTCAGTATTAGTTGCTTTCACTCGACCTGACTTGCCCTACCTGGCTTCTGCCACCGCCACCAATGGCGGACCCAGAAAAACAGAACCACGAGGTCCCTATCCTAATGCCACTCTAATTTAAAAAAAATTAAAAAATAGCATAGTGAACAAATAACATGATAAACAAAATACAACATCTTGCAATGGAAATAACATGGTAATCAAAATGTCGCATATGAAAATCCTATTCCTAAAAAATGATCACAACCAACGTAACTTCAGACTCATTCTTAAACAAATACCATGGCGAACAAAATGCAACGTCTTTACCAATATAATAGTGTATTTCAATCATTTATGCTTATCAAACCAACTTGAAACAAATCTAGTCTTTTGCCGCCAATTACCCTTAGAAGGGAAATCATGACCCTGAGGGTGAAACGGCCCTTTTTAAAGGTAACTGCGGCGTACCTCGTCTTGATCATTAGGATGAAAATCAATAATATTTTCTCAATCAACACTACAAGAATCAGCTTCCAAATTAAATATTCAAAATCAACATGTTGTTTATGGAGATTATAAGCCAAATTAGTTTCACTTTTAGCAATTACTTGATTCAATTCTTCATTTACTAATGACAAATCATTATTTAAGTTAACATCGGAATTACTCCCGCACTCCGATTTTTTTTCAATCTTGTACACTATCCAAATATCTCTTCATCCTAAAATGTGACTCATGAACTCTTATTTTGAGAAGTTTTAATCAAGTTATTCTTTTAATAGGATTTAATAAGTCTCATTTGGGAAATAAAACATAATCAGTCCTTTTTTTGAATTTTGTACTACTTATATGTTTTAGTCCTATATTAAGCAATTTTTATTTAATAATTTAATCATAACACTCAAATAATTTTAACAGTTAACCCAAAAAAATGAATTATGCAAAGGGTAAATAATAAAACATGAGAAACACAATTAAAGTAAAACCATTTATGCAAAACTTTGTATATGTTTTAGTCCTATATTGAGCAATTTCTATTTAATAATTTAATCAAAAAAAAATTATTTTTAATAATTAAGCCCAAAAAATGAATTTGCAAATGGTAAAGAGGTAAACAATAAAACATGGGGAAAACAATAAAAGTAAAAAATGAATTATGCAAAGTTTAAAAAAAATGAAAGGAGTAAACAACAAAACATGGAAAAAACAATAAAAGAAAACGTTTCGGTATTTCATTTCCAAACGAAAAAAGAAGTAAACAAAATGCATGTAAAAGACAGAAAAAGAGTTGTGGAGGGTTTCGAACCCCTAACCAGGAACGTGCTTTAGTGATGCGCGAACGACCATCCAGCTACTCGATTCCGTATATTGAAGTAGCATTTTGGAATATAATATAAACATTTCATAATTAGTTTTATATAAAATATATATAATACATGAGAAATCATCTCATCAGGCCGGCTTGACGGGCTGCCCCGTCCGGCCGAGCCCGTTTGGGCACCTTCCCGGTGGAATTTTTTTATGAAATTTTTTGAGCATGTTCCTCATCAAGTCTAGTTTGTCCATGCCAAATTTCAGCTCAAAATTCGATCGGGAAGGTCATCAAATGATTTTTGCAAGTTAACTGGTCCGGAATATGTATTTTCCGGACCAGTTAACTTGCAAAAATCATTTGACGACCTTACCGATCGAATTTTGAGCTGAAATTTGGTATGGACAAACTAGACTTGATGAGGAACATGTTCAAAAAATTTCATCAAAAAATTCCACCGGGAAGGTGCCCAAACGGGCTCGGCCGGACGGGGCAGCCCGTCAGGCCGGCCTGATGAGAAGAGCTCTCTATAATACATATAGGTATTATTTTGAAACTACACGGGGTCCCGGGACCCCGTAGGACCCTTAGTGGGTCCGCCACTGACCGCCACTAACCAACATTGTATTCTCTCCTTTGTCCTTCCAGCTTTCAGATTTTCCTAATCCTATGTGTACCCTAACTGTGACCTGCCCACTCTTGTTGATAAAGTCTCTTCTTGAATTAGCCATTTGTTTATCGTGGTGCCTCGATGCATCGGAATCTCCCTCCTATCGCTCTAAGCCATGAGTCATATGGCTTGACCAAAGGCCCAAAACTATATCCCCTTTCTCATACTCCAAAGGATAGAAGTTATTTGCATGACCAATAACTCCACACACAAAACAAAAACTAGCGAATTTTTCATGTTTGAACTCCACCCAATAGCTCACCTACCTTTCCTAATTGTTGCCCCAATTTTTGGGGGGTTTCCTACATCCAAATGGATTCTAGTACGCATATAGGCATTGGAGATGCTCTTGAACTCGTCCTCATCAATTTAACAAAACTTCTCAAATAATTTCCAACTCTTTGTCCTACTTCTAACATTATAAAACCATACAACACATTATGCACTTGGGCTCAGAATACAACCATATGGATTCTAGTACGCATATAGGCATTGGAGATGATCTTAACTCGTTCTCATCAATTTAACAAAACCTCTCAAATAATTTCCAACTCTTTGCACTACTTCTAACATCATAAGACCATACAACACATTATGCACATCACCAGTAACAAGCATATTTTGTTCAAACAGCCATGGACTATTTTCTAGCACACATTTCATATTAGTAATATGATAAAAGTAAAGAGATATCTTTGTTCACCAATTAGAGACTCCGGCCCGTTCCTGAGCACCATATTGTGGCCATGAGTTCCATGAAAATATGGAATCTCACTATTTTTAGTAACTAGTGTTCCAACCACCATAAAACAGGACCCTCCTCCCTTTTGCTGCCCCCTACTCTTTAAAAAAACAACTCCTCCTCCTCCTCCTCCTCCTCCTCCTTTCCTTTTAAATCGAGTTTGTCATTGATTAACTATGTGGTTCATTTGGAACAAAGAGGAAATGCCATTTTGAATATGTATTCCTAACATGCATATTTTCTGCATCTACACCGCGTAATAGTTTGATGAATTTTGTACCTACATAAAATAACGAACAAAAGACCCGCCATCATGATATGCTGCCATTCTGCCAATACAATTATACAAACTTTTGTGACTTTAAATTTATGTCAGATCATCTATCTGCAATGCGATGTTATGCATGACAAACTTGAAACAATTTCATGAAATAACAACAAATCCAAAAATACTACGTACAATATATGGAGTAATAAAAATTAAATGAATTATCACTCTATATATATTTTCAGTAACATTTTAATTTTTCATAATGTCAATTATAATATCTAGATTTAAATATTTTGTTTCACGTTACCGATTAACGAAGAAAGAAAGTACTTCCTCCGTTCCCTTTTAATTGCAACAGTCAACATTTCACGTTTGTCAACGCATAAGTTTGACCATTAATATCTTTAATTCCTTATTAGTAAAAAATTAAAAATATTCATATTTAGAAAATTTAGAATGAGAAGAATTTAACAATATTTTTTAAAAATTTAATTTATAATACATTAATTAATAAAATATAGTCAAAGTAGAATATGTGAATAGTGCAAAAAGTCCAGTGTTGCAATTAAAAGAGAAAATGAAGGTAGTATCAAAATAATAAGAAAGTGTGAACAAGAAGAATTCATTCATTCTTATATATATCTATATATACATCTTAATCAATCATCCCATAATTGAAAGATGCACATAATTTGCATTGTAGATGTTTGTAGTAAATAAAAAAACATATGCAAATGTGAACATATAAACTATACTACACAAGTAACACTGAAGTGGAAGGGAGCTCCCTTCAATGCACGCAATGGTAGAGTTGTCTTCGTCATGACGCCATCATACGTTGACCGGCCGCGATCAAGGTCAAAGATTTGGTCTCCATATGGTCAGCCCGGCCCTTACCCAAATTGCCTTTTGTTTTTTTACAAATGACTCAAATAATTAATTAGGATTATCATCAAAGTGATAATCTAAGCTCCAAATCTAATTCTGAATCACCATTTGAATGGGAGTTCGGGTCACTTGACCCAGTTGAATAGCTCCGGCCTTTCTTTACCCTCCTGTCAACCGGGCCCTGCTTAATTGTGATTTGTACAAGATTATGTTATAATTATGTACTAAAGACAAACTTGCAAATTATTGTAAATAGTAATGATACTGTGTATAAGTGTGCTAAGAATATGTGCAGGTTTAGATAATTAATTATTAATAATTACATACCTCTAAATGATGGTTGAGGAAATGTCTAGTCATGTTTGGTTGTGCATAATGTTGTGACTCGTAGACCATCCCCGGATGCCAACTGATTTTGTCAAGTAGAATTGATTAATTAGGAGGTGTAAAGGACAATTATTATTGACAAAAAACATGTAATTCAGATTCTGTGCCCCAATTAAACTTAATGCTGGTTTGGTGCACACTTATTTTCAGATTGTCAATCATATAGGTCAGATTTGTTTGTTAAACCCTGACTCATTTGGTCACACCGACTGAATTAATTGTTAGGTAGCAATGAAAAAATTAGTGCTAGTATGAAAGAGATCCTTATTTATTCAGCTAATCAACCAAAATTGGAGCAAAATTTGTAATTTATCCGGCTATTTATAAAATATTAATTCACCAATTAACTACCTAGAGATCAAAACAAAAAACTCATTTTGTACACATTTTGTCACTATTTCGCCATTAAATTAATAAGTTTCGTTACACGTAAAAGAATTATACGTTACAAATTTTCATGAAAAGAGATATCGATGTATTTAGTATTTTCTGTTCCATATTTATTTATTTATTTATTTACCAATAAGAACCACAATAATATGAATACCCTTCTACTATACAGATCAGAGCACATTTAAGGAGTGATTTACAATTCCCAATAGAACATGGATTAAATTCACAAAATCGCAAATAGAACGTCTTATAATTCATTTCCAAACAAGGCTTTTATAGTAGTAGTAGATGATTAAAAGCAATAAAAATTTTCTTATTTTAAGAATGAATGAGTCATATTTTGAGAAAAATGTAATGATCAACTGTCTGATTTGAAAAAAATGTAATGATCAATTGTCTGATTTGAAAAAAATGTAATGATAAAGTGCCCAATTTTGGATATATGTAGATAATGTTCTCTATTTATCTTAGCAAATGAAACTTGAAAACATTGATTATAGGTCAATTTAAGCTCAAGAATTACCTAGGGTTGGCGTTAGAGATGGGGTGGGAATGATCTCCAAATCTCACATTTGCTCTTTCCAAGTCGGTCACAGTCATCTGAAATGATGAACGTGTGTGAGGAGAAGCTAATTATATGATATTATATTACGTGTAGTATGAAATAATTGAGACACATAATATATATTGTAAGAAGCAAACAAGACGTACAACAAGAAGACATATGCTGGTTGGCTCCCAACAACCCCACCCCTTCCAAATTATATATGTTTAATTTGAAAGAAACAAGCTAGGTTCACTCATGCATTTTGGGCAGTCCCACAAGATGAGATACAGCCTATCCTAGCTACAGCCCATTCACACATTCATTCACTCAATCCTAGCTTCAATTCCTAGATATATACCACTTCAATTCAATATTTCATTTCAATTCATTTTTAAATTTCCTTATGTTTTTTTTATCCATCACAAATTATACCATCCACCCTTATTAAAAAGTATATAAAAAGTTTGTCTTTCATTAACAGACATTGTTGCATGGCATTGTACCATGTACCCTAGACAGATCATAAGACTATTAAGTTGCTCAAGGTTTGATGTGATAGTTGTTGAACTCATCCTCAATCTACTTGATGCAATTAATATCACGGAAACCATCCAGATCAGAAGCACGAATGTAGCTTCATGTGCTGGCTAGCTACTCTTTCTTTGGAAGTCAAATATACACTCATTGAGTTAATTGTACCATGAATTATCTTTTGGGATGGAATCCAAGTCTTAATACGAAGTATATTTTAGACTAATCACGAAATCAAGAAAAGAGAGATTTGTTAGTTGATCCCGTACCGAATTTTGTGAATTTTTCGGTTATTGTTCACGTAACGTACTTAATCACAGATCATAATCATGTCAAGTAAATAATAAATTACTCCATACTAAGGACTCTTTGTGTCAGAATGTACCTTTACTCGCAAAAGGGCACTCAAAAGTGGCCAAAACGACATGAAATGTTCTGCCAGAAATTGTACATTCGGGTGGAAAAGTACTTCATATGGACAAGGGAAAATCGTATATATGGTCCCTCAGTTATCCACGAAATTAAAATCTCAGACCTGTATTTCTGAGATTGTAAATGTCACCCCTCAATTGTCCAAAATGCTGTAAATGTGGTCCTTGTGAGGGGTGAAATATACAATGTGGGAGATAGTACATTTCACTACTTAAAGGACCACACTTACAACATTTTGGGCAATTGAGGTATGACATTTACAATCTCAGAAATACAGGTCCGAGATTTTAATTTCGTGGATAACTGAGGGATCATATATGCGATTTTCCCTATGGACAAATTTATTAATTACTTATAAGACGTGATTTGCAAATGAGTAAAATCAGTAAATACATACATAAGTTAGGAGACTAACTATGCATTTTTTTCAAAAGAAAATGAGAGATGGAAAACAATTTATCAAATTTTATTCACATATTTAAAGATATTACTCTAATTTGAAAATGCATAAAATTAAAGCTTCAATTTGTTACTATACTGCTGCATGCAGTTAACTAGTTGAGCTACTAAAGCATACATGTCTGTGTCACTGTGTGTGTATGCATTTATGTATACAGCCCTACATACCATGATGCTGCTTTGGTTGGCGGGATAAGGGTACGGCGAGGAAGACGATGGCGAGTACGAGAATGACGGTGGAGATGTAGAGTAACTGCCACCTGCAGTCTGCAATCTCATATCCTCCTGCACCTACAGTACATGCATTCATACTTTAGATGAACCTCTCTACATATATACAACTCTATTAAAAGAGGGACAAGAAAAAAGAAGTAATATACGGAGTAGTTAATGTTTATGATGAATATGAATATGAATATGAATATGAATATGAATATGAATATGAATATGAATATGAATATGAATATGAATATGAATATGAATGATTAAGCCATATATGTTGCACGGAAACGTAATTTTTTTGGGGGAAACGGGAAACCGGAAACGTCATCTTTTAATAAAAATAAAACTATTTGGATAGTTTTCGAAGAGTTTTCGAAACGGAAACGTACTATTAATCGAGAGTTCCCGTGCTTCATAGTGACTAAGTAAAGAAGATAAGAATAATATAATACCTGGTGATGAGAAGGGTGGGAATCATAAGGAAGATGATGGAGAGGGTTGGGAAGAAAAGTGCAACCCATTTGAGAGTGCAACCTAATCTTCTCTAACTGAGCAACTCCAAGCCCTCTTTGAGGCTGTTTAGGTTTGTCTGAAGTGTTTCCCTTCTTGCTCTTCCTTGCTGAGGGCCCTGATCCAGCTGAGGAAGATGATGATGTTCTTTCTTGATGATGAAGATGGTGATGATTTCCTGCCATGTTCGACTCCCCAAAGTAGCTCATATATGGTGATGAAATATGATGATCAATGATTTCTCTTTGATCTTAGATTGCTGGCTAGCTTTTTGTTAAGTATTTCTAAAGTTTCACTTCTTGATCAGCTCGCCTCACAACTAACACTGATAAGCCAATATATATAGTACTTATTCTCTCTAATATATATACATATGTGTGTATATACGTATATACATATAAATAAGCCGTTCTATTTGGAGCTCTACTATAATTATTGCATGGTTGGATTAGATTTTGTTTACATTTACCCTGTTTATCTTTCATTCCATTTCTAGCTCCCTATGCCTAGGAGCTGTCTATGTATATACTATCGTCTAATACGGACTACGGAGTAATGAAGTTTCCCTTTATACCAATATACTATATTTTCACTCAACTTTTTCCTTAAAAAACAGTGCATAGTATTCCTTTGTTTGCTACACTTCTCTTTGTTAACGTATTTTAATTTTTGCTATACTTTTCCTTTTTGGTAAGTGTTCTCTTGAAAAATACCTAATCTCCCTTACTTTTACTACTTTTTCATCTTTGATCTCTTTGAGATTTTTCCACTGCTCCTCTACTTTTTCTACACCATTCAACATCCCTACTTTCTCCCTTAAATATTGTGTCAAATCCTATTGTGTAGTAATCGATAGAAAATGGAGGGAGTACCATTTATGTACAAAATTAATACCGTCTATATTATAATTGAACACAATCATAGTTACTAAAGTATTATAAGTCATTTTTTTGTCCATTATTCTTATTTTGGTAATAAACTTGTCATTACTTCATTATCATATTATGGAATTAGTTCCGGAGGCATATTAGGCCCTAATCCATCTCAAATTTCAATTTTATTTAAATTATTAGGGTGAAAAAATCATGTAAAAAGTTTTCCTAAACTTTATTGTATCGGCCCAGCCAATATACTACCCTCATTACGCCACTAATGAATTAATCCTATCTATAAAATATAAGGAGAATTTGACTTTGCACCCCATTTTATTGACCATATTTGATTTTGCATCATATTTTCAAAATAATGAATATATGCACCCAATTCCTCTGTTAGTTTATTCGCGTATAATTCGCGTATAATACACTCGAACGTATAATTCACGTATAATACTCCCGTTTATGAATTTTTCAAAATTTTTTGAAAAATTCACGTACTTTAAAGATAAAATGTATAATACACGTATCGTACGTATTGATACGTATTTTATTACGTATGATACTCCTGTTTATGAATTTTTCAGAAAATTCTGAAAAACTCACGTACTTTAAGGATAAAATGTATAATACACGTACTGTACGTATTGATACGTATTTTATTAAAAAAACACCATTAAATGTAAGCCTAATGGAGTGATACAACTCAAACAAAATGCATGTCAAGCTACTCAATATTATTTATATTACTTAAAAAACGTTATGCGTTATATGTTCGCTAATTGTTTAACGGTCATTACATTTAATGAATTAGCTTCTTAAATTCATAATCTGTTTCGATATTTCTATTGTAACACTACTGTATTTTCTAGTAATATCTCTCCACTTCTACTTATATAGGCAATGTCATTTTTATTACGTATTGTACCTATGCATTAATCCGTAAATCTGAAAAAAAAAACTATTCCGTACATTTTAAATTGTTGAAGATTGTGGTGCAAATGTTAAAAAAAAACTCTTTATTTCTATCATTAAATAAGTATGTAAGACACATATTATATGCCGTATTTTTAAATTGTGAAACGTTTAAAACGCGTATGTATCTTTATATATTTCACGAATGTATGAAACATATATTAAGCCGTATTTTATATAATTGTATCGTATTATACACGAACGTACGTATTATTGTATTATTCACGTACCGTATATTACTAACACACTATAAAATCTTTACTTTGCACCCATGCCAACTCCTTCACAATTTATGGGCTAATGAGGTGTACACATTAATGATTTTTAAAATGAGGTGTAAAGTCCAATATCATCCCAAATATGAGATTCAAAGTCAAATTCTTCCTTTAATATACTGCCAAGTAGTATTAATGGCAAATTGTTAAAAGTATGGCATAACAGTTTCAGAATGATACTGCATACACCCCTAACTCAAAAATAAAGGGGTATGTTGTCATTAATTAAGAATAATACTGCATATTATTTTTATTCCTTTTTTTTTGAAAGGAAACTGATTATATTATATTAATCAAAGAACTTAACATAATTCCCCTCTTCTCAACCTCCTCACTCAGACCTCTAAAAGTACTATCCCCCTTACAACGCCAAACCTCCTCTTGAGGCTCCGCATAGCCCAAAGGCCCCCTCACTCTCTGGCTAGACTTAGAATAGACCACCTCAGAAGAAGCGAGACTATTCGCGAACCATGTATGTGAGAGTTTCGAAGCTTTTAACGGTCAAACAAGCCTTATCGCTTCCACCAACAAATGTATCCCAAAGCGAAACATAAAAGATAATAACAACATAATAAAACCTAAAAAATAATAAACAAACCAAGCAAATAATCTTCAAGTGTTGGACCAATTTAATCTGTCCTTCAAGCTTCTTCTTCCAACCCCTAAGCTCACGATTCTTCGGTGGCGGCGGTTCAGGAGGAGGACGAATCAGCATCACTCCTTGCTCTTCCTTCCTCGCTTGGACCGGAAAATCTCGATTCCACCTCATCAGTCTATCCAAGATGGTCGTTAAACAACCCCAGATTGCTGGCCTTTGTGTCGCCCTTTTCACCGAGCCCCAAATCGCTCATGTTCCTCCAGGATCAAACACCTCCGGGATCGCTTGCATCTCGGACACTAATAGAACCAAAATTGCCAAAACAAATAACATGAACTCAAATCTCACCATTGTTGCTATGCTGAAACGCGCAAATGTATCCCTGGGATGAATCTTCGATCTTCCTCAATGCTAGATCGTCACCGCCCTACCGCTGCGAGACAACCCACGATCGTCACTCGCGCCCGTCGAAATTGGAACAGACTTGAGGTGCTCCTATTCCTGGCGTTGAAAACTCTTCCTGTACCTTCCAACGTCGAGCGAAGAAAACTCGTTGACCCCAATTCTCCGCAGACTTACCCTAGTTGCGGCGCTGCGCACTTCCGCTCTTATTTAGGACTATTATCTCCTTAAAATTATACTCCGTATTATTTGTATTCCTATTTCTCAGTTTTTAATAGTAACATTTTGTTTTTTGGACTACTCATATAATATAAATTTGACCATGTTTTTTTATTAATGTGCATAAACAAAAAATAAGGACAAATGTAATACTAAAATAAAGACAATTGATAGAAATACGAATCGTTATATTTAAATGACTATAATATATAGTAACTTTAGTGATCACCATGATAATGTTTTAATTTACATTGTAGTAACTATGATAATATATTTGTAGTAAATTAAGTCATTTTTTTTACCTATTACCAATTTTTACCTTATATTCATTTTAAAAATAATACTCATTACTTTTGTTAATTTAAAATTTTCAAAATTTAAACTTTCGTTATTTTACTCTTACATAATTAATGGTGGGAAATTTCTTTTTATTCGATACTCACGTAAGATAGTATTGTTCATTCTTTTCTCTTTATCTTTTTCAAGTTGCGGATTACTTCCATACATTTATTTATTTATCTATATATAACTAATATGTTTACATATTTATGCATCAATTAATTTATCCAATATGGCAATATGGATCATATAAACATATCTAATGACTTAAATTTGAGTACCACTCAGCTCCTTATGTCTCAAAATGGTTTCACTTATTTTTCATCCATAAAAGTTTATCTCGTTTTATATTTAGCAAATAATTTTGTGTTGTGTTTTAAACGATACTGGTTTTTGTTTTGTTTTTCAAATAACGTGTACATTCAATTATTACTGTAACAAAGACGGATGTTGGGTGAAAAACATCTTGCAATGTAATAGTGTGGTTTCTGACTTTTAAGTAAAGTGTTGTAATTAAATCTTAGGTATATCATAAAAGAAAAGAAACAAGATCTAACTTAAGATATGTTATCTTTGACTCTTTTTTAATGATACTTTATTATGCGATCCAAAATGCATGTAATTAGCAGAGTACTATTTTCGTAGTTACACTTTTACATCAATTTAAGATCTCTTTGCATTTCAGAACTAAAGGTCGAGATCTCAATGGCATATGAACAAAACAATAAAAAATTAAAAGAATAGTTTGAAAAAACTTATGGAAGTTTGTATTAATGATCTGTATTTAAAAGAAAACGCAAAAGTCTTATCATAATTAGAAAACTAACATGATGAAAAAAAATAAAGAAATACTTGTAACCCGGCCTGTTTAATTTATGAATAATGAGCAACGAGCGCTTAGTAAACTAAAATGGCAGGAAACTCTGTCTCTATATTTTGTTCTCTATATTTTGTTTAGTAATATTTGTGATTGACAGGGATAGATTTATGCAAAATATATATAGAGCGTGCCAACGTGTTCACTGATGGATCACTCAAACTCTCCCAAGTTTATACAGGGGCGGAGCCAGGACACTGGGCCGGACTGGGCCGGTACAAAGAATATTTTTGAAAAAAATTTACACAGAATTTTTTACACTAAAAATTTAAACATTTTTAAAATTTGGGCTGGGCCAGGGCCAGGGGTGGCCACCCCCTAGCTACGCCCCTGAGTTTATAGATTAGTGAATCATGCCAATTTATCATGCCAGCTTACTTCATAGCGAGCATGTTGACATGCTCTATATATTTATTCTAGATTTAAGGGGTACATGGGGAGGAAAGTCCAGTCGAGACATTCGTTCGAGGTTCATACGTTTGAGATCCACATGTTCGAGAAATCTAAAGTTTCTATCAATATTGATTTATTGTTGAGTTAGGGATAGGAGGAAAGAAGTATATATGGTGACTTCTAAAGTCAAGAATAGCTTCATGAAGCGTGTTTGGTAATTAGCGATTGCTCTTCTTAGGTGATAATCTTTATGTAATAATTTGTGAGTACTTATCGTAATTTTGTTTTTTCTTATTTATTAAATATAAGTCATTTCCGTAAAAAAAACAAACTTGCAAGTTGCAATGTCACAATTCCATTTTCAATCGAAATCAAAGGC